CGCACTCATAGAGCAGACACGGAGTTTGATTACACATAAACAAGCATTTAATTAAAACAGGGGCAAAGGCAGGAAAATAACAGAGAGGAATAACACTGAGGCGCGATGGAAAGAACATCTATATAACAAAATGTGCTAAAAACACTACAACGGATACAGGCTAAAGACAAATATGCGGAACATTAATGAAATAACAACAAGATGGAAATCGTAAAAGAGGGTTACAAGGAAGTAATTACAGAATGATCATTGGTCGCGCTTTTTAAAATTCAAAGTGCGTCGCAGCGCACAAAACTACAAATAAAAACAAAAGGCTGGTTACAATAATTTAACAGTTTTAAAAAAGTCACAATAAAAAGTTCCATACGGACCAGCCCAGCTCTTGGTGCACGTAGGGGAGTTGACGGGTGCCGCTGAAGGTCTCGCCGGCTTGGTAGGCGACGAGGGTGCCCGGAATTGCAGCCGTCTCAATACGTTGCGCGGGTCACTCCATGTTCGCCGCCTACGCGAGACTCGCGACACCGACGACCGCACTTGTTGCTGGCTGTACGTCAACTGCTCTTCCGATGCAGTTCAAACCTCCTCAGGGGCATACACGTGCTCCCGTCTCATCTGGGAGTAATTTTCCTTGTTTAGATCGCCGGTGCCCCTTCCGATACCGGTGCAGGGAAGACGAGCCGGCGCCACGCTGGGTCGTTATAGTCGCCGGATGTCGTCCCCCAACACAAAAGCGCCCTTCCTTGGTAGGTGTGGCCCGCGGATGCTCCGAAAATTGGAGTCGTTTGTGACACGCAGAGAACAGTAGGCGGTGCCTGTGGAGGAGTTGGAGTGGCGCTTGCGTTGGTAGGCATAATAAATGGTAAAATGCGATTTCGAAGCTCCAGGGTGATCGAAACCCAGCAGACTCCACCACTTGTAACGGGGTTTATTTGCAGAGCAGAACGCAGAAGGCGAAGCATTCAGCTTCGCCTTCTTCTATATATATATATATATATATATATATATATATATATATATATATATATATATATATATATATATATATATATATATATATATATATATATATATATATATATATATATATATATATATATATATATATATATATATATATATATATATCGAGCTTGCTGGCGCACTATTGTGGTACAAAAGGTTTGTAGGTACACATTGGGGTTTTAAGAAATGTGCCTGAAAATACTCAAGATCAAAGGGAACGCGACATTTGCTCGCCTTTTTCATATATGCGCTTGTGTGTGTGTCGGCAGATTACCAAACAATATATATATATATATATTTATATATATATATATATATATTGTTTGGTAATCTGCCGACACACACACAAGCGCATATATGAGAAAGGCGAGCAAATGTCGCGTTCCCTTTGATCTTGAGTATTTTCAGGCACATTTCTCAAAACTCCAATGTGTACTACAAACCTTTTGTACCACAATAGTGCGCCAGCAAGCTCGATATGCGAAGCATCCCTCGACAACAAATTGATCTGAAAGCGTGCAGCTGACAATGGGTGCATAAAATAATTTGTTTAATAAACAAGAAGAGGCATTTATTCGTTGGGGTAACCTAAAAGTGGTTTCCATCTCATTTTTTTTTATCGTGGAACTGCTAAACGACGGGCGCAACGCACGTATTCTGTTGCAGTCTATGGTGGTTCTGCGCTGTTTTTCCTCTAGCAATATGGCCGCTGGCGGTTTCACTCGCTCCCGTTGGCGGAGGCCAGGATTGCCACTCCAGATGTTCTATAGAACCTCTTGGGCAACGCTAAGCGTTTTTCACCAGCGGCTCATAGGGGCGCGTCAGTCTAGAGTTGTTGAAGACGTTCAACTGTACATTACTGTTTCGGAGGCTATGCAAAGTGTTGCATTGTTGCACCGTCTGCCACAGGTGACGCTAGCGACCGACAACATTCTAAAATGAAAGAGAGAAAGGATGTGGCAGCTGTTTTCCTTCTCATGCGGCAGGCAGATGGCGTTGCCTTGGGTACAATGCCTCCCTTTGTCATGCTCTGCCATAACCTCCTAGATTTCCCTTGCCTGCCGGATTTTTTTTTATTTTGAATACCCTCAAGGCAATTGCATTGAAGAGGGGAATGGGTGACTACATTAGAACAAGTCAGGAAACTGCAGTACAAACAGCAGAACAGAAGTAGCTATAGCCTCCACAAAACAAGTTACACGGTTCAGAAAGGTCGCAATATTCCTGTTGCGACGAAAAAAAAAAATGTGGCGGAGGTTAGCATAGGTTACAATTTTTGGCATTCATTAAAAATATATATATACATACATTGGACAAGTGAATTTCACAGATATCAATGCAACGTTAGACAGAATCAAATGGCCTAAAACTTAATATTAGACACAGTGGTACGAAAAATATCTGGGTTGCAAATTGTAGCAATGGTAGAAGGAAGGTGGTTCCAGTCGTTAGCGGTATGGGGAATGAAGGAATGGAAAAAGGCCTTAGTGTTGCAAGAAGGAACGCCAACTTTATGAACATAATCTTAACGCGAGGATATGTATGAAGGTGGAGTAAGTAAAGCATGGCGAAGCATATTGTGTGAGAATACTTTATGAAATAAGGACAACCATGCAATTTTGCGACGTGACGTCAGAGATGTTAGAGCCAAGTACAGTGTAGTAAAAGAGGGCAGTGGGCTCACTCTCCGGCGGAGAGTATGCAGAGCGGTGGCTCCAGAAATGTCGCCCGTTTGTAGTTCTCTAGTCGCATGAGCGGCGGTGCTAGCATCGCCATCAATAGAAACATTTTGGGAGGGACGTTGCCGCTGAGCCGGTTGTGAGCCGGTCAAGTCCTGCAGAGCAACAAAGTTTGAGCCACGCTGTGTGGCTGTGGACGTTGTTGCGCCGAGTTTTCGCCATCAGCTTTGAGCGTTACGCACCACGCAAGATGACAGTATGCTTTACAGTGCATACTGTAACCATGCCGCGAAAACGGCAAAACCACTGTTAGGCGCTTGGGTGTCTAACAGGCAACGTGTTCGTGAAGAGTAAGCATTACCTGTCATTGTTTGCGTCCTGAAGGATGAAAACAGGCCGAAAGAATGCGAGAAGAACCAGCACAGAGTGGACAAGCTTCTGGAAGACACCAACGCATGCAGTTTGTGAACTCCACTTGCAACCGCGTCTGTGCGCATATTATCGACGAAAAAAAAAAAAAATGCGCATACCTCACCCATTATCCACGCCGAGGCTGTTTTCAACTTGTTCGGCTGACCAACTTTTGTGACCAAGGAGGCCTCCTTCATCCATCAAGTCAGCTGTACAGCTTCATTAAAAAGCTCGAGAATATTTTCACAGATTGTTTTTGCCAGAGCAAGCCGCACTCTGACAGCATTATGGACACACTGGCAATTGTTCAGCGCAGACTCTCGATTGAAGTTGGTTGCAGTGTGCACGCAGCTACCCTCAAAGCGAAAGTAATTACTTTTACGTTGTCACACGTCTTCGTTCAATTTGAAAGGACTGAACACTGACAATTAGGCAGGGAAGCGGTAGAGAGCCAAGCAGCTGAAGATGAGCCGTCACACATGAAGTGAATAAGGTGTGTAAATCAGTGGCTAGATGGTGTACTTCAGTTCTTGCAAATAAGAGCTTCATGTCAGGAGCAGAAGCTTCGTGTGTATATTTATTTAGTTTTTCACTATGTCGCTCTACATATGTCTAACATACGTGTATCTGCATAATTATGATTATTAATAACTCCCAGAAAACTGTTGTGCCATGGTCTACAACTGAAGCAGAACAAAAATTATTTATGCACTACAATTTCACTTTATAATAAAGGCGCAAACCCAGCCAGCACGCCTGCATGTTAAAGCTTTTCTAAGAAGTGAACGTGCACTGTTTTCTAATTATGTCGTGAAAGGGCGGGCATAATCTTGTTGCGAATTCTTTTTAGGTTCGGTCTACACAGCACGAACCGTACGTTTGGTCACTGTATCAAAACATATAATTTGTGGGATACATTATCCTTTTCGACGAGGTGTTATATTCGAGGAAACACGATGTGACCTGAACAAATATAGTGCTTACCAGGAATACTCCACTAACTCAAGCACACACCCTCCGAAACCCACACACACACACACAAAAAAAAAAGCGTTAGCTGCGTCGCACTAGAAAGGAGAATGCACCGGCTGCTGTCGGACTAATTTTCGGGAAGCTGTATCGCAAAAGAAAAGGAAAACACTGTGAAGAGAGAGCACCAGAAGCTCTTAATATAATCAGAGGGCAGTTATAGCATGCAAGTTCATTACAAATATCGAATAATTGCACGTTCCAACTTTTACGAGCGGCCATCGGCGAGCAGCTTCTGCAGGTGAAGCTTCCATTGAAGATGCCTGTGGCGCCATCTCTCTTATGTGACGCCAAAAGCGTCTGAGTAGCTGTGGAGTAAGCCCACTGCCCTCTTCTAGTACACTGTAACCCAAGTTACTTTTCATTCCGGATACGCTCGATATCGGCGGTCACTTGGAAATTGGCGGTCGACGAAACTATGATGGTAGCGTCACCAAAGGAATAGTATCTTCAAAAGTTTTTTTTACGTTTTTGGAGCTTATATGGAACAAAAATAACGTAAACATTTTTATAAAGGCATAAACATCTTATAAGTAACCTTACGTAAGTGACGCTGTTATAAATGACAAGCGTTTAGCGCTTTTTCAGCAGTCTCTAAAATTAGCAGCAAACGGCAAAATTGCCAATCATAAAGGCCAAGTACAAAGACCCTTACTCCTACGTAGGTAGCGCCGCCATAGACGACGGGTGTTTCGCGCTTATTCAGCAGGCAAAAGAACTCTAGGAGGCGATGGCTCGGCATATCATTGTCAAACATAAAAAGACTGCATGCAGATAACAAAAACAAAGAACGAGAACATTCATTTTTTTTAGAGTCTTCAATTTCAGGCAAAATTGGTCGTTGGTAACCAACTGCCACAATACCGGTGGTCAGCACAGTAACCATCGACACTCAGTGATGGCAGCTTCCTTGTGAGCATGTTTGTGTGCAGGCTCTCTGTGCGCTGTTCATTCTTTACGAACGCTCTCTCGTTTGTTGGTGAGTCGTGAGTAACGCAATACCCGCAGTTAAGTTTTCTGCCTATGTCCTGGTTACAAATCACCGCGCGAGCTGTTTCATTTCCGTGTCCAGCGTCCCGAGCCACTACACCATGCCCCACTGTTTACGAGAGCCTAGCCTGTTTCTTCTAGCGTTGCAGAGATGGCGGGGAATTCACGGTCGTCATGCGTCTACTTCAAGGCGATTGTTCTGCAGACGTTCAGGTATCGTGATGAGTTTTTGGAAAATACCCATCATGCCATCCTATGGTTTAGCTGCATAGACTACAAAAGTTGCGAAGCCTGTGATTAGCTTTTGTATCGGGGCCTCTAAGCAGTAGGGCTCCAAAGCGAGGACAAAAGTACACCAGAGTTCCCTTGCTATCAGGGGGCCCTGGTACTAACACTTCATATTTTAAGCGTAACTGCTCAAGGTACGTCGAGACCGTGTGATACAATGAAGAGAAGGCCTGTCAACACGGACTTACCTGAAGAGAACACGACGAGAGGACGGCGTTCGTATTGCCTTGTTCACGTCTCTAGTACAAGTTAGTGCTTGCACGGTTTTCCGTATACGATGAATTCCTACCACCCAGATTAGCCTTCGGTCGTTCTGCCTTTGTGATTTGTGGGCAGACGTTACGGCAAGCATAACTTGAATTACGTGCAGTCCTATTTAAAATTGCTCTCGAAACAAACATCGCTAGTGTTTTGTTGCGTAGCCTCTTCGCCACTGCACTGATAAGAAGTAGGGTGGGTAAAAGATTTCTCTGTCTTGCCCATTCTTGCTTCCATGTCCGTCCCGTCGTCGCACTAACCCTTGCAGCGTCAAAAGACCCTTACGCGATTGCTGGGGCAACGCTTGCATGTATCGATAAGCATTTGCGAAAGTTACGTCTGACAATTTTAGCAGCATCGGGGTCATCAGGGACTGACGCATCGCAGGTGTCAACGCGATTCCGTGAGGTTAATGTTTAAAATAGATTTCATGTTAAAAATTTGCAGTACCCGCCATGGTGGTCTAGTCGTTATTGTGCTTCAATGCTGACCCATAGCTCACGGGGCTGAACCCTGGCCTCGGCAGTGCCATTTCGATGGAGGCGAAATGCTAGAGGCCCATGCATTTAGATCTATAAATTTTTGAAGCCCACCATTATGGCAGCTTTCATAATCATGTTGTTCATATTGTGGTTTTAGGATGTTGAATTCCAACAATTATTATTAATTGGTACAGCAAGTGCTCACCGTTTGAACTGATGCTGCCTCAGGGCAACTTTAGCAAATGTGACCGCTATTGATGTGGCAGTTGCTTGTGCCATGCATAGGTCAACAACGAAGGGTGGAACTCACTCGGCCTAGCTCAACAAACATGTTTTGTGCTTAAAGGTCACCCACCAATATTTCCCGCATCCGGACTCGCGCGGACTTTAACTCGCCAAAATATTACTCACTCGGTCTTGCTCAGAGTAAAGCTCATGGCCAGATCCTAGTCTTAGTGAGTAAGTCGTAGTGTAATGCTTCGACAGTACACAGTACCATTTGGGAAGTTGTACAGCAAAATGTCCAGTGATAGTGCTGCCATCTCATCTTGTATTTTTATACAAGTAATCCTGCCTGTTCTCACATTGCATTAAAGTTGTCATCTGCTGCAAGTAGGAATTAACAAAAACCAATTTCCTATGAGCGGTGCCTGTTGTGCATTTTGAAGACTGTGTGTGCAGTTTACCAATTTTTGCACTTCTTGTTCCAGAGTGCACAGAAATCTTCGCATCAATTACAAATGGTGATGTTGCCCACTCCCGAGCCACAAGTGGAGAGGCGCATAAGCCAAATGGTATGAGACAATGTTTCTTCATTGATGTTTCGTTTCTTATATACGTTGGCACGAGTGTCAGCACAGCAGAGAGTAACAAGAAAAGTACTTACCAGATACAATAAAAAAAAAAAGAATCTCGACAATGGCTCTTCTATTGGGGTCAAAATTGTACCAGTGTAATATTACACTGGCACATTTTTACCTGACATTACTTACATTCTAAACAAGGGCAGGTTAGTCTTGACAGAGCGAAATCTTTGGCAGTTAATGGCGGGCTTCCTGAAGGAGCTGCTGCACTACTAGTCTTGTTTAATAATAGGATTTAGTGCGGGCATGTTTTGTAGAAACCTTGCCACGTCTACAAGCTAACGAAAACAAGTATGATGTGTGTTGCTGATGTAAAGTTGTGTAACGTGCCTCTTTACACAGTTTTGGGTCAACAAGTAGATAACACTGCATCAGGAACAGTTGCTGATACATTGTGCATCTACATTTGAGCAGTCTTTGAGCTTGAAATGGCTTGTATACAACTGCAACTTGCAGGAGTCAACGGCTGCTTGCTTGACCTGTCCAAAGTCTTTGCTGTTACGTTTTTCCCCTGGTGCATGCATGAAATGGCATTTTTGAGTCGAGCAAGTTGTAAACTTTGCATCCTTTAGTTTCCCACAGTTTCTCATGGAGAGAGGAATGCTTTGCAAAAAATGCTTGATTTCCTTGTTTCTCAGGTGAAGAGTAAATTAATTATAGGAGTGCATTTCTTGTTCATTTTCTCACTCAAGAAAGTTCAGACAGACTAAGAGGGTGAAAAGTTAGCGTGTTCAACTAGAGTGGGTTAATGTCATAATCTTACGACTTTTTAACAGTATGCAGGGTTGCAACAGCTGCGCCGATTTGACATAATTTGTGATTGTTGCGCCGCGCCAAAACCGCAAAATTTGCTGAAATTACGCCACGCGCGCAAAAATGGCCAGCCAGTCTCAATTTTCTCAGGTGCGCTAACATCAGCGAGAAATGCAGGCCACCCCCGCGACCTGCAGTTTGTGCCATCCATCAAAGCGCGCAGTCCCCAACTATAGTGCCTAGAATGTACTTCAAGTATTTGTTTATTTTATTTTATTTACAACATACTGCAGAGCCTAGGCAAGAGGGTTGAAATTACGAAAACAAAATACATCATTTCAAAAGGTAAAATATAACAAACACAACTGAATTCAAAATTATATATCAGTCATTGTGTGCTGATCAACTCGACTGATTTTAGCAATGATGATGGCATTGCATTCCATTTGTTAACTGTGCTAGCGAAAAAAAGGAAATTTGAAGGAGTTGGTTCTTGTTGATAAGGAGTTAAGGTTTCAGGCTTATGATGTCTGGCTTGTCTTGTTGACGGGTGTAGATATAGATCGGGTGGAAAGGACAACATTTTCAAGAGAAATGATATTTAAGCCTGAATATTGTGGTTGGTGTGCGTATCCCAGACGGTGCAGGCATATTCTAACTTTGGCCTAATTAGTGCTTTATATATATGAAGTTTGGTTTCTGGGGGCGCCTGTTCATGTTGCAGCACACAAAGTTTCTGAAAAGAAGGACAAATGTTAGCGATATGAGAATTCCTACTGAGGTTGTTAGCCCAGATGTTATATTATATGACTAGATGAAGTAACAAAGCTGCGCGCCCATCGGTCCGTTGACCACAGCAGATAGATACCTATTGGTGGGATGACGAAACTTCAAGACAAAGCATTGCTGTAGCCACCAATGCTTTGTGGGAAATGTAAATTTTCTAGCCTGAAAACGTGGCTATGGCTTGTTAGGAACTAAAACTGGAAGCGTATGGCGCATTTTTCTCGTGCAAACAAGCTTGATGTGCTACAAAGGCCGGCCTTGCCAGTGACCACGTCGATTGCCTTAGTAGTGGCAGATCAAGCCTTTTCTTCTTGTTTGTTTTTAAGTTGCATCGTCCTGGTGATAGATATCCGGTACCGTCGCTGGGCGAATGGGCACGTGCTATTGTTATTTTACCTTGTCGAACTGCGCTTTTCAAGGGAGCTGAAGAGGCACCTAACCCTTCCAATGAAAGAAAAATGGGGGGCGGGGGGTGAGGTGTAGCGGTTAGAAAATTTTTTGGCGTTGGTTGTCACTCGTGCAGAGAATGCTGCTTAAGCAGCCACCTTCGCCGCAGTACTTACACCTGTGCCCAGCGGAAAAGCGTATTCAGATTTGGAAGGGGCTGTTAGCGCTATTCACAGAACACTGCACATTTTGCTAGGTTACTCATGTGTTTGTATGCCACATAATTCTGAGTACCAGTGTAATAACTGATGCCTAAAGAAGCTACTGGCAATCATATGGAGCAGTGTATGACATTTCTGCTTCTCTAAAAAAAAAAAAACTAAATTGTGCACAAGTTTTTTTTTTTTTTTTTGGCCACCCCTACTTCTCGGTTTTACAAGTCTCCCGAATTTCAAGGTCGCAAGCTTGTCAGATTCGTATTTAAATTCCCAAAGTCTGTCAAATGATTTGACAGGCACAGCAAATGCTAATATGGACTTCGTCACTGTTTGCTCAGTGGGGTGGTTCAAAATGCAACTTTCATTGTTATAGCAGTGCTCATGATCACACTGCACAATTTAGTGGATGTTGAATGCTTTATGCATTTTTTTTTTTTCAAAATGTAACCTTCCTTATTTATACTGCTCACGAGGTTACCAACGTACATTGTTGGAGCCTATATCTGTAAAGAACACAGAACATTGCCATGTACTACGCTCTTGTAATCATTTTTAATCGTTGTGCAATCTTCCTGCTAGAGGAAGTGTGAACAGAAAAGGCAGATGGTGATGGCACGTTGAAGTTTCCGCACGAAGTCGCTGTGACGTTATGTACTGAAGTTGGTGTAGTTTAATCAAAGGACGACACAACAAAGAAAGAAAATGAGTGCTATCTTTCAAGTGAAGCTTTTACAAATGTTCCAAATCATGTTATAAGTGGCAACCATCTATAACTAAGAGGAGTTCATAAGAAAGTGAAACATTCAACAAATCAAAGCGAATAAATTCGAATAAGATAAAGTAACAAAACTATCGATCAGATCTCCGTTGTGTTGCTTGCAAAATATCAGCAGCACATGACCTTGCTGATTTTGCTGTGTGTGACATTAAGCTAGTGGGCTCATAGCTTAATAAAATATTTGTGGCACCCTCTTCCGGTCAACATGACACGTGACAACCTGAGTGGCAGGCGCCTTGCGCGGGCGGAGGCACTAGCTCACCTATGGGAATAAACACGGCATATTTTACGTGGACGCCTCTGGCCCTCACCATGGGGAGTGGCACACAACTGCAGTCATCCACCAAAATGTCGCCGTGAATGGCTTCCCATTCAAAGCACAGGACATAACATATGCAGAGGAAGTCGCCATCGCACTAGCTGCCGCAGACCTTTACTCGCGCGTCATCATTACAGACTCGAGAGGGACCTGCCAAAATATTCAACGCGGGTATGTCCCACACCTGGCGTACCGCATCTTACAAAACAGCAATTACATCGGGGCCCCCGCGTCCCGAAGGTTCATATGGGCTCCATCTCACATGGGCCTCGAAGGCAATGAAACGGCTGACGCCGCCTGTGCGCTCACTCTCCGGGTAACACCTTCAGAATCTTCCGTAATGGATCTCGAACCTAATCCGGGCTTAACATTTTGAGCAATTACTGAATTCTACCGATTCGGCCATTCAATTTATCCTAAACCCTGTAAGAGTCTTACAAAGGCGGAGGAGCGTTTACTTCTCCGTCTTAACACCAAAACACTGTTATGCCCGGCAGTTTTTGAATATCTCGATCCTGCCTGTACAAGAAAATGCCCGTACTGTGCGGAGAAGTCTTCGGACATCTTCCACATGGTGTGGGCATGCCAGTCAACCCCTCGCCTCACCCCAAAATCGAACCCCACCCGGGAGAACTGGGAGGCGGCCCTGCTCGGCTGCTCCGACTTGGCGAGCCAGAACGCCGTGGTCAACCGAGCCCCAGTCGCTTTGGACGCCAATGGGCTTCTGTAATGAGGAGCCCACCTAGTGTTTGTGAGGGGTGGCTCGCACCGGACCGCCACCCATATACTCCCTATATATAGATATAATAAAGTTGTTTTCTCTCTCTCTGAGACAAGCAAGGAAAAACAGAAGACAGGATAGGATGCCAGCCTCTTATCCTGTCTTCTCCTTTTCTTTGCTTGTCTCAGTTGCGCCACAAATATTTTATTGTACTGATTTAGCCTAATGTCTTTTTTCTTTCTTTCTTTGGATTTAATTTACTCCTCTAGATATTAGAATTTTCTTCCTCATCTCTCTTAGAAGTGTGTGGGGTGCAATGGATGTCATTGAAAGCATTGTTTTGGGCATTTAAAGCTTTTGCCTGCCAGTCAGCACTTGTCCTGCACTTCCGTTGTGCTTTCTTTTAAACACGTTGTGCAGTAGTCATGTCCGCTGCGATGATTTAGTGATTAGGGTGCTCGGCTGCGGAGCTCAAGGTTGCAGATTCGATCCCGGCCACGACGGTGGCATTTCAATGAAGAGGAAATGGAAGAGGCCCATGCACTGGGCGATGTCAGTGCATGTAAAGAATGCCAGATGGTCAAAGTTTCAGGAGCCCTGCACTACGGACTACATCATACTCGTATCGTGGTTTCGGGGTCTTAACTGTTTCGTTACCACGCCTATTCAAATTGATCACCTAGGGTTGACGCTTTTGGATTGTCGATTTCGGCATGTTAAATTTGTTTCTCGTGCACCCAGCACTTCCTAGTAGCTAGTTCAGGCACTGAACTTTCAGAATAAATTCGAGTTTGCACGTTTCGGAAGCATAGTGATTTTTCACAGACCTTTGCGTGAATCAGTGTGTGTGTATTGTTCGAAAAGTGCACTAGGCTCGTGAACTTGACCGAAGTGTGTGTCCTTCGTAATTATGGTATAGTAACATCAAAGTTCTGTAATGAAAAGAACCTTTGCAAGCCGAATGTCAAA